TGATCTTCAGATGACAGGCTGGATAGCCCCTACAGTACTCCTTTGTTGTTTAGTGGTACTAGTGAAGTACCTGTTGGACCCAAAACCTTGATCGCCTTTTACTGCTAATCCTGCTTCTGTATGCTGGGTCAAACCAAAATGCAGGTATAAGAGTCAGCATGATTATTCTATTCACATTTCTCAACATCATAAGAAATTCTTATAATGGATGTTTTTCTAAAAATGAAAAGGGCCAGTAAATGGCAAAAGACCTACATGATTTGTTGGTACTGAATTTATGTAGAACTCCTCATCTTTGAAACTTGCAGTCTTTCTTTTTTTTAATCCTCGAGTTCCTAAAATACGGAAAAATATTCAATCAGTTATGAAAGCAAGAGGCCATTATTTAGCATGAGAAAAAACCATGATAAGAACATGTTAAGAATTGATTTGGCAAAATCTGTTCTCGAGGCAATAATCTGAATGCTGCTAACTTTCCATCAAGAATATATTTAGACTTTACTCGTTTAAACCTTGAAGAAGAGAGGATATCTTAGGCACCTTCTAGTTAATTCTAGAAGTAATACCTTGTTACCCTAAACTCAATGAGTTTCTTTGACCTTGAAAAAAAGAAGTCAGGTGGACAGCCTAGGAAAGGCACAAGCCACACCAATGTACCAGTACCACAAGTTTACGCCTCAAGATATGTCTTCAAAGCGCGTGCACATACACCAAAAAAAAAAAAAAAAAAAAAAAAAAAAGAACTGTTCCATTATTTTCTAACTCTTGCCATTCATCTGTTTCGATATCACCCTCTTTGTCCCACAGCCCCCTCTACATTTTTGTAACTTGCATGAAATCTCATTGGAACTCAAATTAGATTGAAGGGCGTATGAGCGTCTGGGTAACAATCAACTCTAATATATAAAAGTAATTTCCAATTGATTTGGGTATCATTCCATGCTCACATCACAAACACACTCTTCAAATGAAATGACAACAGTCTCTCTTCCAGTTGCCATGGGGAAGGGGTGAGAAAGAGAGAGAATGGTATACCTTTCATATTCTTACCCTTTGGAGAAATGTTTTCCAACGGGAGTTCCTGAAAATATGAAGTACATTTTAGGCATAACAAGATATTCTTTGGAAAGAAAAGCATAAACATAATAAATTTCAAATTATGTATAAATCATCATCAGGCAGATCTTCAACAGGAAGCTCAGACCTCTGTGGGTCAAAATCCCAACAATAAGCTTTTGCTACTCACTATGAACATTTAACATTAGGAAAAGAAACTCAAATAATTCAAAGTTGATGAAAGTCCACCTCCTCAACGTGCTTGGCAGAGCGTTGCTTATGAACTAAGTTAATGACCTCCTCATGGACAGCTCTCTTTCTCTTCATTACATCAACCCATTGCCTAGGACCCTGCAACAATGCCATTATTGAAGAAATCATTCGACTTCCATCAATGAGGAAAGCAAAAAACCTAAAAATTTAATTATTATACAAAATGAAATTAAATAAGATAAATATGTAAACATTCTAATTTGAAAGTAAAGGAGGGTTTCTTTTATAGCAAATAATTTCATCAAGTCATCACATTTATTTGTACAACCCAAGAATTCAACCCACCAAATTTATTGTGGTCAGAGGTTCAAGATGATATTTTGAAACATTTAAGAGTGAAGAGTGAAGTGTGAGAAATATGAATTGAAGGGAATAAAAGCGATGGAAAATATTTCGAACATAAATGATCTTTGGGGAACCATAATTTTTGTTTCTTCTGCCTGAAGCTCCTTCTCTAAATATTTTTGTAATTATACTACATCACCCATCACTGTTAATAGGAGATTCTATTTCATAACTCATTGTCCTTGTTTAAGGACTTTTCCTTCCTTTATTTACATTACATTCGTCAATACAATTCTCTCTCACAAACAGGACACATAAACAGTATTTAACACGTCAACCTGAGATTGTCATTCTATCTTCATCAACACAAATTATTGGTTCCTTTAAACATTGCTTATATATAATAATTAATTAATAAATAAAAAGCTTATAGATTCAACAAAAGACTGTCATCAACGTATTTAACTAACGGCCATAAGCTACAAAAGTCACAAAACTCATAAACAAACCTGTCGATGCTTTGACTTGGCAGTTTCTCCTTCAGCCTCTAGTATCGTCTGCTTGGGCCTGGTGCAAATAAACAATTGTTCCAAGCATGATTTACCATTGCAAAACTAATTTTTGTGGAAATGTTAAGCCTACTACCGAAAAAGGAAAGCAAGCTAATTGCTTTAACCTGAATGTTTTTAAGCGCTCTGAGAAAGCCAATGCCTTTAATTCACCACCTTCTAGTATATTTTTGAAGATTGGATGCAATCCTTCACGAGGTAAGTCCTTTGCTCTTCTGATAGACTCTTTCGAAGGTAGTGGTTTTGACTTTGAATACATACGAAATGCATTTGAACAGGTTTTCTGCAGAGAAATCAAGTCAGCTGAAGAATCAATGGTTTCTCTGATTCTGTCGGAAGCAAGATCAATAACTGTCTGAGGGAGACGACCGTATACAGTTTCTCCACTTGCAATTGCATTGTCTATTTTAGAGAATACACCCTCCTTATCAAGTAAGACCTCCTCTTCAGTAGGTGCAGCTCTTATAGGTTTTGAGAGAAAAAGATGAAGATCTAAAAGGTTGGGAAGATCTTCAGAAGTCACAAATGAAAATGCTGCACCAGTTCGACCAGCCCTTGCAGCTCGTCCAACTCGGTGTACAAAGATTTTAGGTTTAGGAGGGAAGTCCCAGTTGATAACATTATCAAGCAATGGGATGTCAATTCCCCTAGCTGCAACATCAGTCACTATTAAGAACATTGTTTTTCTTGCCCTAAATCTTGATATATGAATCTTGCGAGCATCTTGGTCCATTTCACCATAACATACAGATGGCTCAATACCTTCCTCTCGGAACAAAACATTTAAGAACTCTACATGATGCCGAGTGGATACAAAAATCAAACTTTGTTCATCGGAACTGATTTGCTCTCTGACCAAATACAACAATGCTGCATTTTTTTCTTCTTGGCGCAAAGTAAAAAAGACAAGCTTTAAGTCAGGGCTAATCTTATTATCAACATCAAGGCGCACAAGCTGGGGATCACGAAGACCAGCCTTTGCAAACTCTGCAAGAACACTTGGTAAGGTTGCACTAAAAAGTAAGGTCTGTCGATTCTCACTCAGTTGTGCAAGGATTTTATGCAACTGCTCAGCAAAACCCATATCAAAGAGACAATCAGCTTCATCAAAAACCACATATTCCACAGTGCGCAAGGTCATGTCATCAACCTCAGACAAATGGTGCATCAACCTTCCAGGAGTGGCAATTATAATATCAGGATTTTGAGCCAATTCTTCAAATTGAGTTTCCATACTATCACCGCCTACCAATAAACTAATTCGAAGATCTGCAGCAAATAATAGATGATATTTAAATCTGAACCTCTCTGTAAATTAGGAGAATTAATTTACAGATAGAGGATCCTCTCTCCCCTTTCTTTTCATTATTGAGCTAAATATCCTAAGCAGGCTGGGCCAAACATGCATAGAGATAGATCTTATTGAGGGTTTCCAGGAAAGGAGAATATTCATCTTTCTCACTCAGCAATGTACAAATGATAGTAATTTCTTTTGTTCTCCAGTCCTTTATTAATCTAAATCAAATTCTCATCTTTGAGATCGATTGCACAAAGAAAGTATAACACGAGCCACTTTGTTTCTTATTTGGAAAAAAAGTACTACAGGAAGCAACACTAGTCAGTAATAACTAGGTTCAAGGCCCACACGCTTAACTAAACCAAAATTGATTCTAATAACCAAGTAACAAAAAGAATTTCTACGTACAAGAAACCTCCAAAGTTACATGCTCAATAGAGACATCCTTCAGATGTTTGGAATCGTCCAATTGTGATGCCATTAACAATAACATAAAACGTTTATAAACCAGTGAGGTGAAATATGTTCCAATCGTTATTTCAGTTTAAGAACATACGAGATAACTCATGCCAATACACATTCAAATCACAATAATTCAATTAAGAGCACTGGACTGACCCGTGAATTTTCCAAGTTCCTTAGTGAACTTAAGAGTCTGAAGCGCCAAGTCCCTTGTAGGAGACAAGATGAGAGCCCTAACACCACCCTGAGGCTCGTGCTGTTTAAGCCGTTCCAGCATAGGCACCAAAAAAGCAGCAGTTTTACCTGAGCCAGTCCGTGCCATGGCCACCACATCGTTGCCGGAAAGAATGAGCGGCATGGTTTTCCTCTGAATTGGAGTGGGCACTCTATAGCCCTTGCGCTTGATTCCCCTGTAGACATTGGGACTAAGACCTAAGGACTCAAACCCTCCAGACTTTGCCTTCTTCTGCTGCTTCTCTCTTCGCTTCAGTTCCGCTTTGGAACTCACATGGAGAGGCTCGTCCTGCTTCCCCATAGAATCCCTCGAGTTCGCAGCAAATCTTCTACGACCAAAATCAGTGCAACGCTAGGAGGGAGGAAGCTGCGGCAACACGTATGGAAGAAAGACGATGTTGGCGGCGGCGACACAGAGCTGCTGAAACGGAGGAAGGGTTTTCCTCTTTCTTTTGTTAATCTTTTTATTTTATTTTAAAAATAGGCTCAATTTTTTTTTTCTTTTTTTTTATAGCGGTTTTCATTTTCATTTATTATTTTTGTCGGTTTATTTTCATTCTATACTTTAATTTTAGCTGATTTATATACTAAGCCACCACTCATACATTTCAATATTTTGTCTATTAGTTTAATTTTGCATTATATTTTTTTATTAAAAAGCTAAATTTAATGAATTATTTTTTATTTTGAATGATAATAAAATTTTATTATTAACTGTATTTATTGTTATTTATCTGAAAATTTGTATTTGAGTTCTCTCTTAGGATACAAAACCATTTTCAATTTTATCAATTTTATTATTAAATGAAAACTACTTGAAAAGATAATCCAAACCAAATAGACCCTTAGAATAATCTTTACAAATAAATACATTAGTTCATTCAATTGGCCATCAAAATTACAAGGACAAAAAGGCCGAACTGAGAGAGTGAGTGGGACAGAGATTATAGAACCTATACTAGCAAGAGTATCAGCCTTCACTACTACTAGTTGCAAATGCTTCAGTACTTTGCACCTTCCTTCCTTATCCATTATGTCAGTGAGATCTATACCTTCAGAGTTGCCTCTCTTTTGCTGTTCTATTCATGAAGGACCTGTAAATACCATTTACAAGCTTAATCCTAAAGAACATTTGCCCAAGTTTTCAATAATGCTATTATCTATAAACCTTCAGGGAACATCTAAAGAGCCATGGAATATCCAAAGAGAATTACGCCTACAAACACATCTAATTTCCATATCAACTATTATATCTTGCAGAGAATGAGGGCGGCATTTGATGGTTTAGACGTCTTCTTCCATGAGCTCAGTCGAATCCTTTTTCTCTCTCCATATAGCATGTACTTCATCGGTTCGAAACCGTTGGGTGAATGTTACTTCCTCCAATGGTGTTGACATGCCATGTGCCCAAGCAAGAAGACCAGTATATGCAATCATTGCACCATTATCAATACAATAACGGTCATCTGTTGCAAATAATCTTCCTCCTCGCTCAGAGCACATTATTCTCATCATCTCTTGCAAGCGCTCATTACAACCTACGCCACCCACTATAAGAACATCTTTCTTGTCGCAGTGAGCCATGGCTCGTTCCGTGATTTCCACAAGCATAGCAAACAATGTTTCCTACAATACAGAACAGCGGGTTGAAAGGGATGAAATAGCATTTGTAAGTAATTTTACGGAAGAATGGCAAGGTCAGAGTGGATAACAATTCTACAAATGAGCTGAAAGTTTGAGATCATCTATTATAGAGCAACAGCCCAATTCACAAACTTCGCTTAGTTATAGAATGGCCCGAGTTTGCAGTTCATCCAGAAATGGAGCACTATTAACATAATAAACATACATTACCTGTAGAGAGTAGCACAAGTCAGCAGGAGTACACTCGTTACTTTTTAGTTTCTCCTCAGCAGTTGCTTCAATATAACTTAATATCCCACTGAATGATACATCCATCCCTTTAACTACATATGGAAGTTCAATAAACTTTTCTCCCTTCTTTGCAAGCTGTGGACACAGAAAATCAATCGAGGGAGTCAAAGAAACCATTTTTCACACATTATTTAGCACAAGCATTTGTTAGAATTCAGAAAAATAGAAATGAAAAAGTACACAATGAGCATTTTCTCTCATAATATCTCTCCCACCTTGAAGATAAGACTATCAGTACAAATTGCATCTTCAAATATTTCATATGCATTATAAAAAAGGAAAAGGAAGTTATGCGTGCAACAGAGGAAACAAAGAGCATATTTAATTTATTATATTTGAAACATTTTGGTTAAAAGGCGCGAATAAGACCTATATAAGCTTTTTCCAACCCAAGAACGTAAGAGCTAAAAGTTTTCTTTTCAGACTCCCTACGCTATTAAGCTTTGACGCCCTTTCAATCCCAATAATTCGATGAAAAGAATAAATGGAATAACGAAAAATTTACATTATCATCTTCCAATAACACACCTGTTCAATATTGTATCCAGGACTTGGGTCATTGGATAGCGTTAGGACTCTTGCAAACCGATCCAAGCAATTTCCAACGGCAATATCAATAGTTTCCCCAAAGATTCTATACCTTCCTTCACTATAAGCAATCACCTGAGTATTCCCACCACTAACATACAAGACAACAGGATCATCAGCACCCGTTACAATCCTTCCCATCTCAATATGTGCAACGCAATGATTAACAGCAACAATAGGCTTATTCCAAATCTGAGAAAGAACCCTCACAGCAACAGCAGAAACTTGTAGAGGAGCTCCCATGCCAGGCCCTTTAGTGTAACAGAGGCAGTCAATATCCTCTGGGGTAATTTTTGCAGTTTCCAGAGCAGACTTAATCAACGGGAGAATGTGCTCAAAATGGTGATGTGCAGTTTCACGAGGAAGAAAGCCATGGCCGGGAGGTGTAATGTAGGTGTGACGTGGGTTTGACAAAATGTTGCCATCTAATGTCACAACCCCAACACCAATCTTGTTTGCTGAACCCTCAAAACCCAGTGCTATCATTTTCTTCATTTTCCAAAAGATTAAAGGCAGCCCTGTTGAAAAGAAAAAAAAAAAAAAAAAAAAAAAAAAAGAAAAAAACAGTTCTGAAAAAAGCATAGATGGGTAACAAGAAACCAGACTTTTACCTAACAAAGTAAGTTTCATTAGACTAATTCAAAGAGAAAAGCTGAAAAGTAGAACATGAAATTTGAAGCTTTTATGATAACCAAAACCCAGTACATGAACTACCAGGAAAACAAAGAGCTTTGCTGAAAATTTATCAACATTTGCAAAGCATATCATGTAATCTTCCCTAAAGAACATTTTGGTCCCTAGAGTTTTAACTGTTTACAAATTAAAATATTTTAAATTTTAGATTAATTACAAATTTGATTGGTTCAAAATTAAAATTGAAGTCTTTAAACGATAAAACTTCATAGCTACCGATTAGAAACCAATCTCAAATTTCAGTGACCACTAAGAAATCAATTTAAAATTTTAGAACTTTAATTAAATTAAATTTACAAATACTAAATGAAAGCTGAATTAAATTTTGAGGGGCAGAGGAGTTAGTTTTGAAAACTTAAAAGAATAAAACAAAAACTAAGTTGAAATCTCATATCTCATACCAGTATTTAAACCTTTAATCTCCCTATAGAGGTCGGTTTCTTTGGTTTTGCTTGAACCGGAAACGAAATTGAAGATTTCAGTTTTAGAGTAATGACAACCGAATCGTTCTCCGGCGTTAACATTAAGCAAAGCCGAATAAAGCCAGAACAATGGACTCAGTTTTTTCAGTTCAGTTCGAACGGTTAGAGTTTGAAAAGACTGCGCGGAAGATAGAGAAGTTCATTACCTCGATAGAGGAGTCGCCGTTCGCCGCGGCTTGTGAGGGAGGCAGACGATTAGCGACAGCAATGCGGAGGAGGGGGAGAAGAGAAGCTGAGGGCCGTCGAGGAGAGGAAGGCAGCGGTTGCTAACGTCAAAATCTAGGGCAGTTTACTTCCGGTTAGACTGCAATAAATGACAGAAATGGAATGGACAGCAAACGCGGGGTTGAATGGGCTGCAAGGGTGTTGGGCCTAAATAAGAGGCCGCCCTTTCTTTTATGGCAACACTACAATCTTATTTATTTATTTTTTGGTCCTCCAAGTTTCAACATATGTCTAAAAGACTCCTCAATTTTAAAATATTTAAAATAGGATTTTAAATTTTAATTTTGTTTATAATAAATCTTTAAATTTTAGAAAAACAATTGCTTTAGATTTAATATCTTATATCTAAGTAAATGAATTTATAAATTCTTAATATATTCAAATTTAAAAAAAGTTTAATTAATGTATCATGTATAAAATTAAATTTTATATTTAATATCACTTTAAACCTTTAATTTTTATTTAATAAATCGATGATTTCTTTAAAACATTTATAAATTTTGTTAATATGACTTTATAATTATTCATTACTTTGTATTAAAATTCTTTCCTCACGAGTCATTTTATTTAAGATATTTGAAAATATTATAAGAATTTCATGTAAATAAATAATTCTGACAATAATTTTATTAAATTACTTAATTTTAGTTATGTAATTATTATTAATTATTTTATTTTAAAAAACTAATTTTAATTTAAATATGTGTGTTTCTAATTTATTTAGTAATGAATATTAATAATTATCGGTTTTAATTATGCAACAGCTAACATAAGACACATATGGATAGAGAACATGAGATTAACAAATTAAACACATAATTTACTCCAAACCACAGACAAACACAGACAGATTAATTTCTTAATTTCTTAATTTCTTAAACCAAACATGCTGTCCAGAAAAACCCGAAAGAAAAAAAGAAAAGAAAATATTAAAAAGCTTAAAATTAAGCAAACAGGAAGCAGGTGATAGTGATGATATCACGAATTATTACGATCCAAGACAGTTTCGAAAGCGAGGCTAAGAGTTTGTTACGAGAATTTGTTGTGTTCAGAGTCCTTACGAAACGTGTTCTTGTTGTTATGCATCCAAACCTTCAACACTCGGCGTTTCACCCCGATTTCGTTGCAGAATTCCATCACCGCCGCTTCATCGTTCTTTTGAATACGCCAATCCAGCTTCTCCGCCATCACCAGCATCTTCTCCTTTTGCTCCTCAGTGAATTTTGTCCTTACCCTCTTTCTGCATCCGCCGTCTCCACTTGAAGGCGACGGGAGCGCCAGCATTCGTCGTTGGGGTGCCACGTGGAGGTAGCCAGCTGGAGCACGCCAGTAGGGAACGAACTGGGCGGTTGGTGGTGGGTTGGATAAGATGAACGGTGGTGATTCTCCGTTGTCGTCGTTGGTGGTGGTAATGTCTTTGCGGTGGAAGTTGCGGTGGCAGTTGCAGGCGGCGCATTTGAGTGCGTCGAGAGAGCCGTTTGGGCCGGCGGGCATGAACTCGCCGCAGCCGTCGAGGGAGTGGCCACCGATGGAGACGGCGTGGTTTTTTAAGCACTCTTTGTAGAGGGGGGGAGGAGGGGGGGAGGAGTGGAGCGGAGATGGGGTTTTGTTGAGGCGGGAAAGTGGAGGAGGAGGAGGAGGGGTTTGGAGAAGTGGTTTGTCGTAGTTTGTTGGAGCTTCCATTTCCATGTCTTCTTCTTCGTCGTGATCCTCGAACTCCATTTCGGGCTTCTGCGACGGAGAACGGAGGCGGAGGAGGAGGAGGAGGGTTTTAACTACGGTCGTGCACCCACCGGCTCTACCCGGTGCCGGTATGCATGAAATGAAGGGGATTTGGGATGAATATTTTTCATTTGATTTCATAGTTTATTTATAGCTTTTTTTAATTATTATCATTAATAAAACAATATTTCAAATTATTATCCCCATTGGTTGAAACTATATTTTAATTATTTTTAAGAAAATATTTCAAATGCATTGTCGAATTTGGAAGGTTGTTTCTCTTTAATCTTTATGACATAAAATATATTTTTCTAAATTATTCGAAAGTATTTCGAGCTTGCTTCCGTGCGTGAAAATGTCATTATGCACTCACTTTGATAATATAACGCTTACCTTCCAAAAAAACGAATTTAAAATTAAATAGAGATATATATATAATCTTTAAATAATATAATTCACGTGACCAACATACATGTTAAACGTGAAGTAGTTAATGTCGGACCTATTAGAAAAAAAAGTGAAAAACTAACTATATTAGACTAAGTAGACACCACATTAAATATTTAGTAGATTATTGAAAATATTTTATGATATAATGACTCATCAAATCCGAACAAAATGATATTTTAACATTATTTAAATTTTTTTTTTTTAATCCTTCAAATTATTAATAAAAAAAATTAAGTTAATAATTTTATTTAAAACTTAAAACCCAAAATAGGAAAAAAAAAAAAAAAGTGGAAAAGTTTAGGGGGTATGATGTGGAGATAATTTATTTATTGTGTAATAAAGAAAGAAAATGGGTTTAGAGCTGAAAAGAAGTGGAAATGCTTTTGATGTTTGGGACAGAGTTGGGAATGAATCAAATGTCGGAATCAAACATCACATAAAGACAAACCAAGGAAATCATTGTTTGGTTGATTTTGTTGATTTTGAATTATCATTTTTTATTGTATAAATATATATAAAAGTATTTTTAAAAATTGAATTTTGGGTTTCTGCATTCCCACGTCGTTATGTTCATAACAACAGAATTTTGTGTCAAAAAATGGGAGTAAGTGAATCTTGTGGAAGGATCTCCAAATAAAAATAACTTACATTCTCCCCTTTACAACAACAACTTTATTCATTCCTTTTCTTTTTTTTCAAGTTTTCTTGACTCAATACGAATCAACAAGCTATAGTTTTAAAATATATGAATGAGAAGAATTAGAACCTTGCCATCACATTGTGACCTCATGCTTAAGTCATGTAAGAATTAGCGTCAAGTAAAGTAAAGGAAGGAGCCAACCTGAATCCAAAGCATAAAGTACTGGTTGTTATACATAAAGAAGAAAGAGAGAAAGAAATCAACGGGTGGGAAGCAATGGAGTGACATCGTTATTCCACCGGCCCTAACCTACTAGCCTATCTGAGTTTATGATCATTATAGCTACGATTTTAACATGCTAAAATAGTGACCTAAGATCTCTAGACATGAATGTAATCTATTCACTATTTGGCTATAAAGAGAACGGTCTTAAAATAGATCTATTTCAAAATTCATCTGAACATCTATTTTGAGTCACGTATCTAAAATCATATATATTGCATACACCCTGAGATGAGCTCTCTGACCTTTACTAAAATGTGACTTGCGAAGGAAACAAACTCTTTCTTTACCTTGCACTAAAAAAATGAAGCTTTGAATGTAATGTTAGATTCAGAAGTTGTTCTTTTTATCCAAAAAAAGAGGCAAAAGATATAAATGGATGGATTGGAGAGAGAGAGGGAAAGGAAAAGGAAAAGTGAAAAGAAAAAAAAAAAGGGCTAAAAATGTAAATTTGTATACAAATTATTTGTAATGAGAATGATGGGTTAAGAAGACGGGGACAATTTGCAAGTGATGGTTGCAGGGAAGGAGAAAAGAAATGGTAAAAGGGAGACCATATTTCAAAGGACAAATGAAAAGGCAGAGAGACAAATGATTACGCAAATTCAAGCTCCACAACCAAGTACAAACGGTGCAAAAAACCATGCTTCTTTAATTACATAATCCCCACTTAAACGCTCTCTTAAGTATCGAAATCGAAAATGTGTCGGGCATATTACCATGTCGATATAAGTATCTTCCATGTATTGCAGGCTGACTTAGCTCCTCGGTTTGTCACTTTGACTCGAGAGACTTATATGAATCTATGTTTGGATTCTTCATGACAACCTAAAAGTACAGTAGAGTTGGATTGCGAATACTGTTTCCCGACCAAAAAAATCTTTGTTAAGATATATAAGTAATATACTTGGAAAATGTTGATGTTAGAATTTAAAGTTGATGAAAGAGAAAGAAGATGGAATGAGAATTTAGGAAACACGCCATAATACAAACAGAAGAAGACAAAAGGAAAATGGGTTTTCTGTCATCGGCTGCAAACATTTGAGTTGAGAGACAAATGAGAGAGGGAAGGGCAGGGCAGGCAGAGATGGATGTATAATAGAATTGTTTTTGTTGTCAAAATCAAAACCATTCTATTGCCCGTAAATTTCTCCTCCTCCGTGTGGCTGGTCTTGTCATTTTCACCAGCCTGCAACTTCAACGCCCCCTCCCTCTTTGGCCTTGCTTTGTGCTGCTGCTCTCATCCGTACTGTTTATTTGGGAACCCACCTCTCTGCTTCTGCTATTTTCACAACAGATTTGGGCTTTGTAAACTTTTACAAACTTTGTGTGATTTCTTAGCTGCTTTCCTATGGCTATGGCTATGGCTTTATGGCTTTATGGCTTTATGGCTGACATCAAAGCACAAAACACTGCCCTCAGTCTTAGTGTACCTCACACAAACGGTTGCTTGCAACAGAAGGCTATTGTGAACAGTACTGTTGCTAAATATGTATGCACATGAGATTTTCTTTTGAAAAATGGCAACCATTGATGTGGATGGGACTGTTTGATCTGGGTTATTAACTCGCTTTATAAGCACTGACTGTTTAGTTGTGAAGAACATTGATGAACTCTTTGTGTAGTTGGTGGCTTAATTAGTTTAGGTGAGACATGGGAAGGGAGAAGGCTGTCTAAGCTGAGTCACTTTGTTTTACCCAAACAAGGAAGAGCAGTTTAGCCTAGATGAGTCCAAGTTGATGAAAACTTCAAACCCTCTACATCACCCACAATTTTTGCAACAATGTTATCGGAAGCTTAGTAGGCAATGCAGAGAGCGTACTCCACCCTGAGCTCTATCAGGGATGATTAAGAGGAGTTCGACTCCTTTGTCGTGGTTGTTCGATGAATCATCGATGCAAAGAAGAGGAGTTCGACTCCTTTGTCGTGGTTGTTCGATGAATCATCGATGCAAAGAAGAGGAGTTCGACTCCTTTGTCGTGATTGTTCGATGAATCATCGATGCAAAGGTGTCAGACCTTGTCCATTCTCGACATTGGGGGAATTGGTGATGATAGTGAAAGGAATGAACATTCTAACTCGTAGTGTAAGAATTAGAATCGTCTTTGAATTTGTTTAGATTTAAACAAAACTGAATGCTAAACAAACATATATTGAAGTAAATATGAAGATATATTTGGCGGGTCTTATTGAAAATCCTCAACATAGAGTTCCTGAATATGGCTTGAACACAAAACCAAAGGCGTGTGAGAACTATTCCAAGAGTAATTTAGGTTACTTTACTTTCTTGTTATTCATCGGAGAAGTACATTGACATGCTTAAATTGTGATGGTCGAGTAAAGAAAATGTACATAAATGAATCAGGACTACATCCAAATGAGACTAATATTAATGTAGGATGGTTGAGAAATTAAAAAAAAAACTGAAGTTACTACCTATACCAATAAGGTATATCTTACTCTTAAGTGGCTCAATCATAAAAACTTTAATTTTGCTTAGATCAATTCTACGTTGGACGACCTCCTAGAAATTTTCTTAGGAAGTATGTGAGTGACGACAAAACATGCTAAAAGTGCTCATGTTATTATGCAAGTAGGTAATAGGGTCATATCGCAACGGATGTAGGGAGAATGTTGGGGTTATTAAGTGTCGAATCTGAATTTCTAATCTTAGACATGGACTGTTACAAAATGATATCAAAGCGATACCTCTCCTAGTAGGATGTGGTTTGGAGAAGAACCAAGGTGGAAGCTGGTAGGCATGTGATATCCAAGTAAATGAGGGGTACATGAATGAATCGAAAAGTTAAACGTGTTTTACTAGAAACAATTCTATGTTGGATGATATTCTAGGAATTTTCTTAGAAAACATGTAAGTGAAGATGAAACATGTTGAAATGACCTAGGTTGGTGAGTTTATATTGACAAGAACTCCAATTCCTAGCGTTGACACACAAGTAGCATCTCAACGCTGCTTGTGCGGGACGTTTGGCTTGTAGGTTGCACATAAAGAATGTCTAGATGCCCTACAAGCGTCTTGACACAGTCTTTAGAAAAAAAATGGTTTGAAATTCAGCTTTGTTTGGCTAAACATTGCCTAATTGAATATGAATATATCTTTGAAACCCGTCCCCCTTTGCTCTTTGCTGATACAAAGTCTCTACTAGCTCCAACAATGAATTTTGCGGTCGGAAACAGAACCCCACGAAACTCTAGATCACATAGAAAGGAGGAATTTAAATCAACTCGCTGTATGCTACCAGCTCCATCAGCCACTGAATTTCTTTTTGACAATGTGCAGATCCGTGAGGCCGAGATCGATTACATGTGTCATGAACCAGAAAACAGTAGCACTTCTTCTACATGGCTGCATTAAACATTCGTTTGGTTCTGCTCCTTACAGCTATGTCATGGGTCATCTCCCTTCTCTGGCCCAATACATACCTCATCAACTAAATTCTTTTAGGCCTCTCATTAACCATCCATTTCTTCTTAGTTCTTAGTAGCCATTTCTGGTATTCTATTCTTCCTTTCCTTTTTGAAAAAGAAAACAAGTTTATTTAGATAGGATTTGTTAATCCATGATCCCCCAGTGATTCCTAAAGAAACCAGATAATTATTGTTTAGTCCACTTAATGTGACGTGGAGTTCATTGTCCACTGATTCCTAAAGAAAAGAAAAGAAGAACATTGGAGCTACCAGCTACTTCATGAAACTTTGATCCTTTTGCTTTAAACAGCAAATTTAATGTAAAAAAGGGCTTGGCGGATTTACCTCGGCTGCCATGATAGCCAGATTTCAGATGTTGTACCAGCTGCTTGCCATGCTGCTGCCGATGCTGGAATTCACTCTGTTTGAGTCACAAACGTTAGGTAACTCTTGTTTGTTTATCTATTAGTAATTAGTCAGAACTAAGGGAGCAATGCAATGCTATAACTTAGAGAAGTGGGAAGGCATTGAACACAAATGAGAGCTGTTTAGTAATAAGAGCTTTAGTAAAGCTTGTATCAGTGTGTTGTAAGAATGCAAGCAGTAAGTTTCAATCTAAAAAACACTCCACTTTTGGCATCATTCTGAGTAACCATGGGCATTAATTACGCCCAATTTTTTCCTTTGCATGAAAAGATTACAAAAAATGTGAAAAAACCTAAACGATTCTATCCCAGCCAAACTTCATCCAAAAAAGAGGAATTGATACTAACATTTCCTTTGTTTATTATTATTATTATTTTTATGTAGGAAACAGAGTAATCTTCAAGCCATATTATGTGGAGATGTAAGTTCTCCAAGAAGGCATGGATCGTATACTTTCCCCACTACCTGAATTTATTTGATTTTTTGCGATTGGTTTTTAAAGAAGAAGGGCAAGAGTGATCACAATTATGTGGAATATCTGGAATGATTACAATCAATTAAACCAGGCCAAGAATCACACAACTTCAGCAGATATTCAATCAAGTCATATTCAGAGCGATTGATCGATTATTGCAAGAGTTTCAAAGTGCAAAGACGAACCTAAAATTGGCGAGAATCAGAGACCCGCGCGAGTCAGAGCATGTGGCCCGCCGGACGACTTCTGGAAGCATAGTGTCAACGCCGCTGGTGTGAAGCTTAGGGAAGAGGAGGCCTGCGATCGGAAATCTCGATTAAACCGAGAATGGAGAGGAAGTCGGCAGACTTCCGTTACATGGACCGGGAAGGGGACGGGGATCAGCCCAATTACCCCCCCTATCCCCGCTTTTCTTTTACCTATAATTCGTTTTTATAATTTTATTCTAGCTCATAGCTTTTTTATTTCAAAATTGAGCTTTATTATAAATATTATTATTTATATATTAAATACGTTTAAAATTGTTTTTATGTCGAAGATAATATTATAATATTAATTTTCTTCCAATATTATAATATTAATTTTTAATTTCTTTTAGACATTTAGGTTGGTATAAGACTACATTATATTTTTATTTACATTTTTTTAAAATAAAAATTATATTATAAAATAGAAATTATGCCTTTGAAAAGTTTATTTGAAATAACCATTTAAAAATAATAATAAAATGAATAAAAACTCCCGTAGAGATCTTAATACGTATGCGTTCTCTGTTGAGGATCTCTGTCATCGTCTCTGCAAAAATAAATAAATTTGTTTTTGCATATTAGAATGGAGAAGGCTTTTCCATCCCCACTCTGATTATCTCTCATTACACCATGTTTAAATCAAAAGGAAACAGCCCATCAAACCCCTAGTAACTCAAAGGAGATTATAATATTCGCTCTAAATAGGATTATGGAATTAAGAAGTAATTTTAACCTCTAAAATTATAAAATAAAAAATTTAACTTTTCTGGTGATAAGGATGAAATTTATAATTTAATATAAAACTAAATAATTGGATTTGGGAAAAGAGAAACAAGCAGGAGTGGACCCAAGGAACATGGGTAGAAGAAATAAATGGGCGTGTGCCACGTGTCCACGTTACAAGAAAAAACGATTCCCGTTCGGTGATCCATCCTGAACTTAGTAGCTGTAATTGGCTGGATATGGATATGAAAAATTGAAGATGAGAGGCGCGTTTCGGTCAAATCACTAATCACTCCAAAGAGTCGTTGAGAAAATAAAAAACTGTCAAACAACTCACCGTACCCACCGGACAGACTGTGAAGCCAACAACATAATTTCTTATAATATTTCCACTTGGCATAGCCCTGTTATAATCTGACACGTGTCCTTCATTAGGGTATTCGTGTACTTTTAATCCCCATGATTAGGAATCAAAATTATTATAATGTTTATTTAGATTTATTGCCGAAGTAAGGAGGTTAGAATTTATATTGTAAATAAAATATTGGTTATATAACTTTATTATAATTTATGTTTAAGTAAATAATGTGAAGCGCATATAAAGGGGGGTTTTTAATTTAATGTTGAAATTGTGGGTGAAATTATTATGATGATTTATTTATTATAAGAGCAAATGATTAAAAAAAGGAATTTGGGAATCTGAAGCATTATTAGGGAAAGAGGAGGCAAGGCTGTCTTTGAAGCCTCGGCTGAGCCATTTTTGTTCTTGTTCTTGTTGTGTATATATATATATCTCCGCTATTGCTTTTCATTTCAACTGCCCACTCAAACTTTCTCTAATTTTCTCTCTTATCTTTTGTTTGGTGGAGAAAATGAAGATGGGTATTCAATTTCTGATGCTTTTGGCCTGCTTGGCTACTTCTTCTATGGCTCAGGCTCCTGGCGCTGCTCCCGCTCAGCCGCCCACCACCCCGGCTGTTCCGCCCCCGTCTACTCCTCCTCCAGCTGCCTCCCCACCTC